TTGGGTTTGATAAAAATTCTAGGATAGTTATGATAATTGAGCTGGAGCGATAGCACAGCAGTAGGGCGTTTGCCTTGCACAAAGGCAACATGGCCGACCAGAGTTCGATTCCTCCGCCCCTGGAGAGCCTGGCAAGCTACCAAGAGTATCTCGCCTGCGCGGCAAAGCCTGGCAAGCTACCCGTGATGTATTCGATATGCCAAAAACAGTAACAAGTCTCAGTGGGCCTGCTCGAGCAAATCAATGAACAACGAGAGGACCGTGATCATGACCAAGTTATGATAATAAATGTAGAAACATCCAAAGTGCTGAAGTTCAATAAAATCAGGGAAATGTACTGTTTCTCTGTGCAAATATTATATAATATGTGCTTAAAATATACAACACCACAGGAGAAATAAATTTCCAGGGAAGAGTTAAAAGATTTTATATGACTGTAGGCTCGGGACATTGTATGAACTATGTTCAAGAGAGCAACAGCACTGCTGAAAAACTAATAATGCATTCCTGGTTATGATTCAAGTTACCTGGCATATACAGCAAAGATGGTTAGCTATATATGCCAGAGAGATTATTATGTTTTAACTTTACATTACCACATCTGGTATGTTCATCCACGGATTCTTGGAAACTTAAGAGAAGTCCTGAGTAGAAGGCCCAAAATGATAGAAGAATTCAAAGAAGCTAGAAAAAATAAAGAGAATTTAGTAACAGAGTATTGAATATATATGAGAACAGACATCATTATTGTACATGGTCAGTAAAAAAGTATAACTAAGATCTTTGTGTTGGCCATACTGCAGTTATATTTAGGGTCATAATTAGTAAGACTTTATGTGACTTCAATAAGAATTATAATTTAGCATACATTAAAAGATAATTTTTAAGTTGTAAAGCCTTTGTTATTCATTTGAACATTGACTAAGGGAATAAATTAGGATGTAAGAAATAATACATTTATAAATTTTAAATGTTTCTTAAATTAAAAGTATAGTGTGATCAAGTCTATGGATAACTGCAAATAAAACCACATGAAGATAAAATATTTTGGTGGAGCTAATATTCTTTATGAAGAATCTGAATAGGTGATTGAATTATTAGCAGTACTGTAGCACTGTAGCACTGTCCTCCTGTTGTTCATCGATTTGCTTGAGTGGGCACCAGTAACATCTCCATTGTGAGACTTGTTGTTACTGTTTTTGGCATATCGAATACGCCACTGGGAGCTTGCCAGGCTCTGCCGTGCAGGCAGGATACTTTCGGTGGCTTGCCGGGCTCTCCGAGAGGGACGGAGAAATCGAACCCAGGTCAGCCGTGTGCAAGGCAAACGCCCTACCGGGATTTCTAATGTATTAATGGGCACCTCAAGCTAACAGATGATTTACAAGATGATTATAATTATCCGCATTGCAGTTTAGTGTATAAGAAGCTACAATTTTATTTAAAACTCATTTGGTCATCTTCATAAACTATCACGATTTATTTATTTTTTTAAATTTATTTATTGAATCACTGTGAGAACAGTTACAAAGCTTTCAGGTTTAAGTCTCAGTCATACAATGATCAAACACCCATCCCTTCACCAGTGCACATTTTCCCTTCACCAGTGCACATTTTCCACCACCAAGAACCCCAATACACCCTAATCCCACCCCTTCCCATGCCTGTGAGGCAGATGATTTCCACTTAACTCTCTACTTTGATTACATTCAATATTTTGACAAAAGATGCACCATTATTATTTGGAATTTTCCCCCCAACAATCAATCCTGCTGAAAAGGCATCTTGAAGTAATGTTTTCTATTGCTGGTTATGAGACCATATGTTGTCACACAGCAACATTGGATTTCTGATATTTTACTTATTAAGTCTGGAGGGATTTCTGCTAAAGACCGCATAATTCCGAGATTGGTTTGTATGTCTCTGGGTCCATGGCTGTGCCAGAGAGCTACTTGTGGAGGGCAAGTTATGGCCTAGGCGGGGCAAGAAGGACGTGCCAGTTCTGCCACCCCCATCCCATGAGGCCGCAGTTGCCCCATCACTGCTGGCTCATACCTGGTTGTCCAATAAGCTCTGAGGTGGCAGTGACTACCATGCCACCGAGTGGGGCGGGGGGGAAAAGAGACAGACAACCTTTCCCTCCTGGGGGGCGGGCACAGCACTTTAGTTTAATGCATAGTCCATTCACATTTCTGCCAAAAGCCGCTGGGCTCTGAATTAGGTCCGTGTGCCTCTGGGGCCATGGCCATGCCAGAGAACCACTCGTGGGGGGAAAAATATGATTTTTTCATGTTCACTCAGTATTTTAATCAGCTCCTATAGGCAAAGTTGAACTTCTTTAGGTAAAAGTGTCAAAATTTGACCTTCTCCTTGACTTATATTTTGTTTTAGAGGGATTTGGGGATATCAAGAAAGGATCTTCTGTAACCTTACGGCTTTGAGACATGTCACTAGATTTTGAATGGTGTCTTCTCTCCCCTCTGGTCTCTGTATCGCATACCTTGAATGCCTAGTTGCTACTATCTTTCACTTATAGTAGCTAGAGAAAAATCATGATTGGTGCTTTCTTGTGTTGGTGAGGGTCCAATATCTGTCTCTACTACCAGGTTTCATCCTTTTTTGCTCCCTTAGCTCAAATTTACAAGGTTCACTGCAAAGTCTTTGAAAGTTTATTATCCAGTTCATGTAACATTAAGTTTAACTAGTTTTCAACTGAGCTCTCTTCTGAGGTCAAGGGAACTTTCAGCAGTTATGGAAAGCCCCTTTTCTCTCCCCCTATCAAACTATGATGCTCTACTCAGGGTTACTTGAATGTGGTTACCCCTCAGCTTGATGTATATGGGAAGTAGGGTGAAGGTTTTTCTACCTATTATTTTTTCGTACTATCTGGAATGTTTTAAAGCTAAACCTTTCACCTTATATCCTCATAATACTGTGGCCCATTTTCATAGAGAAAGTTTAAGTTTATAGGAAAAACTTGTTTTGAGAATCATGTGCCCATTGAAATACACACTGTTGGTTGCCTGCATCAGGCACTTTTATTCGTATTCTGTAATTATTTGAGCGAAACAGGAAAGGGCTATCTTCGTAATTACCTATCTTCTAACTACCATCTGTCTTATTCCAAAATGTAGCTTAACCCTTATGGCGGATTGGGGTCTCTGTTCACAACCGGAGACTCTCTATCATTTGGTTCACTAAGCCTAGTCTTCATATGTTAAAACTATAAAAAAATTTGTCTTATCTCATCAAGTGGTTTGATATGAAATATTAAATCTTTATATAATGTTGAGAGTTAAAATGAAGTTTATTTGGTATTAGCATGAAAAAATCTAAATCCTCAGCAGAATGGCTCTAAGTCATACCTAGAAAGTCGCATTAATATTTCACAAAACATTACATCCTTTTCTCATTACACAAAATTCTGGTATACAAATCTTCGGGTGCTAATTTCTCATTTGAAGCCTTTCAGTAATTTCTTGTTATCTCTGTGTGTTCACAAAATATTTGTGTGGGTGCGCTTGACACATACATTCAGCAGTCAGGCTGCTTTCCCATCCCGATGGCGATGGTTGCTGGCTGGTGATGAACTGCTGTTTATTCCAATCGAGTCTTCCTCAGACACCTTCCAGTCTCACTGCCCGTATGCCTTCTCCCCTGCCCACTCTCGGGGCCTCGCTTACATAGAACAATGACTAAGGGTGGGGGGTAGCGATTGCACGTAGGTGAGCGAGCACAGTCAACAGACGAAAACCCTTCGTTCCAGGGAAAGCTCTACCAAGACAAAGGTCTCCTCCTGCTAGGAGATCGGCTCAAGGGCGGAATTTCATCTAAGGGCACATTTCTCCTTTCCCTAGTTCATACGTGCTTAAATGGTCGTCTCAGATTTACTTCTCAATGATCTTGCTAGTCCTTTCGTATGGACGCAGTAAGAGATACGTCAAGATCGTTGGGAGGCTCACAGGCCATCTGGCCACAAGGCCAGACTCGAGTCCTCGGGCCAGACCAGTCCTAATCCGGCGGGGTTCTCGTCTAGCCACTTCTCTTTGGATCGGAACAGAATTCCTGACTGCGCTCTTCCCTCATTACCTCAGACTATCCGTCACCTGGGCTAAGGGAGCCGGCTGCGAGGGCGGGAAGGCAGGGGCGGCGCGACGCGCATGCTGCGGTCCTGTGGCGGGCGGGCGGGCGGGCGGGCAGGCGGACAGGCGGCAGCTCTTCGCTCCCAGCTTCCTGGCGCGCGACCCTCACGGCTTTCCCGCCTCCGAGCCGCCGAGACGAGGTCGCCGCCGGCCCCGAGCCCCCTCGGCTAGAGGCCCGTGACTGAGCCCCTCGGCTAAAGGGCCGTCACTCCCCTCAGGGGCAGCTCGTGCCGAGGCTCCTCGGGCGAAGGCGTCGCCGGGGCGGGAGCAACTAGCCCGGGCCCGGCCCCAACACCCCCCGGTCTTGCTCCTCGCGCTCTCGCCCCCCGGCCCCCAAGCTGCCGGCGGACACCCAGGGGCGCTCGCACGGACGGACGGGCGGGCGGGCGGAGCTAGAGCTCGACGCCGGGGCCGCCCGGGAGGCCACGCGCCGGCGGCTGCGCGGGGTCGCCGGGGCCGGGGCACGATGGCGGCCGGGGGCGCGCGCGTGCGAAGGGGGGGGGGGGGCGAGGGGGGCGGGGCGCGCGCCTGCAGGTGGGCGCGTCCTCTCTCGCGCGCGCGCGCGCCGCCCTGCCCCCCGCGCTCGCTCGCCCGCTGGCCCGCTCGCTCGCTCCCTCCCTCCGTCCGTCCTGCCCCGCCCCCGGGCGCGCGCCAGCCCCGCCCCGCCCCGCCCCGCCCCCGCGCCGGGCCCCTGGGCTCTCTCGCGGCCGCGCGGTCCCCGGAGCTGCCGCCTGGGCCGCGCTCCGCAGGGCGACGGGCTCGGGCTCGGCTGGGGCTCGGCGCCGCGGGCGGGCAGGTCTCGCCCCGAGAGCGCGCGCGGCTGGGGACGGAGCCGGCGGCGACCGGGGCGTCGCGAAGATGGAGGCGCCGCGCCCGGAGCCCGCGCTCGGCAGCCCCGCCAGCCCCTGCGACGAGGGCGCGCGGACCCTCGGCCTCGAGGCCGTCCAGCTCTGCGACCGCGACGGTAGGCGACGCGGGGCGGGCGGCGGGGCCCGGGGTCGTCGCCCCCGCCCCCCGCGGCCCGAAGGCCCCCCGGAGCCCGAGCCCGAGCGCGGCGCCCGGCTCCCGCCCCGCCCCGCGACCGGCCGCAGTCCGGGCCCGCGGGGCAAAGGCCCCCGCGGGGGGTCGCGGCGCGACCGCCGCTCGGCCGGAAACTTGGCGGCCCCGCTCGACGGCCTGTTCCGGGCGCCCCTCGCCCCTGCCCCCTTCCCGCTCCTCGCCCCGGCCCCTCGCCTCCCTCCGAGACGGGCGCGGGGCCGCGGGCCGCGGGCGCTTCAGCACCAGGGACAGCCGCGGGCGCCTGGCAGGGGCTGCGCCGAGGGCCGGGCGGGGGCGCGATCCCGGCGGGGGGTCCCTTCCGTCCGAAAGCGAGGCGGAGGGGGCTCGGGTCCGAGCGCTGGCGAGGGACGCGGCGACCCCACGGCCCGTGGCGCGACTCGCGCTTGGCTTGGCGTGGCCGGGCAGCGGGTCCCCGCGCGGGGAACTCCGCGTGCGGGGGAGGCGGGGCGAGTGGTCGATCGATCGATTGCGAGATCGCGTCTTGGACGGGGAAAGGCTACGCGGGCACTTGGGAAATTCGGTGCCTAACTCCGGGGGAAGGTCGCGGCAGGCGACCACTCGCCCGCCCGGGGAGGTCGAAGGATTCCAGGGGAGCGGCGCCCTCCTTTCCCAAAACGTCTGGATGGTGGACGTTGTTCGAACGTGCAGGGGAGACCGGCAAGTGGGTCTTCCGTTTCCAGGAATGGAGCACGCTGGGCTCTTGCTCCCTAGAGCCACCCTGGGGCTAGGAACCGAGTACTGAGAAGGCGTGAATGTTCCTGAATCCATTCCTTCACTTTCCGTTATCCTGACTAGCCTATTTTGGCTGCTATGGAAGTGTGACCTATCTCTGACATGCTGAAAATACCCATCTGGGGATTGCATATTACAATATTGCTTTTTAAGGCTATGAAGATTTTCTGCCTATAGGAAGTCATATTCGAAAATTCATGTTTTGAGAAGACCTACTGGGGTGTTGCCATTTTAAATAATCTTCTATCACTAGACTGCTTTGACAAAAAAATAAAAGATTTGATGCAATTTATCAGAAGTTTTGATGATTCTTAAGTTGTTGGAGTTCACATTATGGTTCCTGCAAGGTGAACTAAGTTATGTAACAGAACGGGGGTAATGATACTAACCATCAATGAAAAACTATTATATTTAGACTTCAGATGGATGCCACGTAGAGTAATCAAATAGGATTTCATTTTATAAAATAGTCCCAATAACTGCAAGGAACTAACATTAAGAGATGAATAAAAATTTGAAAGTGACTTTTGAAACAAGGATGTTATTAAATGCTTATTTTTTATTTTGGGGTTTTAACTTACCTCTCAAGTGGGGAAAAAAGTTGAGTTGGCTTTGACGGAATAATTTGAGGAGAGACTATAGCTTTCACAAAGTAATTTTAAATGGTGCATTAGATCTTTAAATCAGACCTCATCTATTGAAATTTTATATTGGGAGAGTTTGAACAACGTACTGGTTCCTTCCTTCCTTTCACTTCATTTTATTTTCTTTCTTACATCTCATTTTACTTCTATAACTATAGAATATAGAAAGCTTAGGTTGTGGCAGAAAATACAGCATGTGTTTAAATACATAACGAGTAATATATTTTTATGATCTTAGAAATACATGTCATCTTTGCACTCTTCTTGCTTATTTTACTTTCTTATTTGGTGATGGGAAAATGTTAAAGAACTGTTAATTCGTTCAAAATATGAAGAAAGTACGTGGTTTCTATTTATATACTTTTCACTTACAGATCTTTTAATGTTATGTGCATATTGCATAACTAAAGGCATGTAGTTGCTGATAAATGTGACTATATTTCTTAAGTTTCCTAGATTCTTGCTTATCTTTTATCTTCTATTTTTAACTGTTTTCTTAAAAAATTAGTCTATTTACAGTTTGGAAACAATTTCAAGATTTCTTTTTCAGTTTCCCAATGTAATTTTTAGTAAAGAATATTCAATGAAGTCCAAGGGGCCATATACTTTACTTTTTAACTAAGCAAGAAGAGTTTCACATATACATCATCTTGTGCATACTTGTATCCTAGGCACTTGTGCTTTGGTTGCTTGCTTATGGTTCCTGCCAATATTGTTACCTGTAATTCAAAATAAGAATACTACATCAATACTTCTTTCTCTGTCATGCATGTTCGTGTTGAAGCTCTCTTTGCTAGGTGAAATCTCTATGTTTTTCATGCCTCCAAGATCATTGCACTCTTATTAATAAGGAAAACTATAAATTTAATTTGTTGTATAGTATTTAGGTCCACCCCAAGCCTGGCTTTCTTCAACCTGTTTTATTCCCATGATAAGTGCATTTTATGAACTACTTAAATGCAGTTTATGGTGTTTATGAAGCTAGACAGCAAGGTAGCATATTTTTAAAGAAATTTCAACCAGAAATTGATTGAATTCTCACTCATCTCTAACAATGGATTTGTGAGGGTGGAAGTATAAAGGTTTTCTCGTATTTTCATATTTAAAATTTCTTTGAATTTGTACTTCATGTCTATTTAAATGATAAAAAATTGGAGCATTCTTGTGTATGCTTATTTGAAGTATGAACTACACAAATTTTACTTTGGAAACTAAGTAATACAGTGATTAATTAGATAATCCATTTGGGGAAAAATCTGGGAGTATCTAGACTGGTTACTTTTAATAATAAAAGGAAGTAGTCAAAGTACCTCATTGAGTCCCACTGGCATGCAGATAGCATAGTGGGGCTACCATTTTAGTATCAGAGGAACTTGCAGTTGAGACCTTATGCAAAGACCATATACCCTTATTTTTAACCCTACGGCTTTCTCATCAGTATTATACTGTCACTCTTGTAGGAATTAAAATAATTAAAGTTTATTACAGAACAATTAAATACAGCAGTCAGTACAGTTTTACAAAACAAGGAAGAATAATTATTGTAAATGGAATTTTTTCCACGTAATCTTCTTGAATTGCCATTTTTTACAGTATGTTTAAATTGTTGGTCTAAATTTTAATTGTTCTTTGTTTACTTAGTAAAATCTTTCATCATTTCCATTTCAGAAATAGTCAGCGGACAACTGTTAATAGTGAAGTCATAGTTCTGAATTTTGAAAGAACAGTACATTTTAGAATTACACAGTAATCTTGCTTTCTGCTCCTTATTTTACCATCCCATCAGCAATGCCCTTGTCAGCCTTAATCCTAAAAGCTGTTTTCAACTTCTGTTTCTGATCTACTCCTTGCTGCTTTTCATACATCTTGTGACCTTGATACCTGCCTCGGGTAGGTGTTGCTTATCAAAGACCTTGATTCTTGTTTTAACAGTTTTTTTCCTTAGGATTTTTTCCCTAAGGATAGATCTGTACTAGTACATGTGACCTTTCTATTCATTTTTTCAGACTCAGATCTGAGTCTAAAAAATTACTGGAGATGTTGTAAATTTTATTGGTGAAAATAAAATAAAACAGATAAATTATAAGTTAAAAGAGACAGCTTAGAATATGTCAGATTATATTAAACCAATTTGTGTTCTTGGCAGGGGTTCTAAATAATTCCCAGTGAAAACCAGGAAGTTATTAGATTAAAAGTCACATAAAAGAGTATGTGACCAGACTCCCTCCAGTGGTGGAATGACTTATGTGTCATAAGTAGTAACACTGACACTTGCTTTGTTGCCTAGTGAAAGCTAGTCACAAATTCACTGTATAGAACACAGTACGGGCAGCTTCCGTGTTCTCTGGTTTTGTTGCTAGTAATATTGCTTCATTATGTAGTCCTGAACTTGTTCTTTCCTTTAACTTAGGTAAGTATAGTATCCTGATTACTTTCATACTTTATCTTCAGTTTTACTCCTAGTTTCTGATTTTCCTTTTCTGCCTAACAAATACACCAATGTTTCACCTATGTAATTTGCCTTTTTCTCAGCTTTTATTTACCCATTTCTTTTGAGTTTCTTCATTGATTTTTTCATACTTTTTAATTTAAATTCCATTTTGACTACTATTAAGTAGAAACTAGGTTTTAAATTGTTTAAAGTGTTTATTATTTGACTAAGTTGTTTCACTCAGTAGGTCATATTTTATACATTAAGAAATAAAATCAATATTTGAGGAAGATTTCTAGCAGACATTTAGAAGAATTGAAGAGAGGTGGGAGGGAAATAGGTAGCATCAGTTATGTTATTCTGTATATAGGAGAATATCAAGCCAGCAGTGTTACAAACTAAAAATTATCAAAACTTTATAATTTTCAATCCAAATATAAAGTGATCAGTAGTAGCTAAGATACTTAAATCTGGTAAAATAGAAGGGAAATATTAAAATATTATCAGGTCATAAATTTTTATATCTCACATTAGGTCTCTGTGGTAATAGAAGTATGTCCTAAGGTTTTTTTTTTGTTTGTTTTCAGAGACACTTCCCTTTGTCATAGAAATTATAGTTCCAGGAAAGTATTTTTTACTGTCTTCTCTTTTGTTTCCTTGTAGGTCCCATGAGTGAACTCACTTACCTTGCTTTTAGACTCTTTTTCTTGACTACCACTCCAGAAGCTACTAATAACAGTTCAGTTACATTTTCAGAATCATTACTACATAAAAAGCTAATATGTGTTGCGACACAGATGATGTAAAATATTTTAAGTAATCTATGTAAATATTTGGAATTACAGACTTTTCAGAGGAACTTTTTAGCATAAAGTAAAATGAATGTTTTTATAATGAGACAGTTGGAATCTAATAGTAAGATAAGCTCTTGGAAACATTAAATATCAGCAATTGTACTTGTTTTCTGGAAACCCATTTTAGAATGAAGACAAGAATTGCTGATACATATTAATACATAATTGTTGATAAATATATTGTTGATATCTGTATGTGTATATGTGTGTGGATATATATTTAACTAGGGAGACTAGAACTTAG